TTGTTGTTGTTGTTGTTTCCTTTGCTGTTCGCTGATTAACGTAATATATGTCTTTGTTGCACTTTTCTCCTGATGAACAATTCACATGGGACGGCCATAAGAAACAACACCGGTGCCCGTGAAACGTGGATAAAATAACCGAACAAATAACAGCAAGGAAGCAGATGTACACGCTGTTCAGGACAACCCAGAGAGGCTAGTCGATATATATATATATATAGGCACAAAGGGAACGGGGAAAACAGGGAGCAAGCGGGAGGGAGAGAGGGAGTGAAATCCAAGGGCGAAAACAATCAGCTGAACAGTCTCAGCCTTACGTTCCTCTAGCAGTGACAATATTGAAAAAAAAAGAGAGGGAAACAGTTTTAGTATCATATTTTTCTTCGATCTGGATTGATTTCTCCCCAGACTCTCACACCCAAACAAGACATTCCCAAAAACACTCACATTTTGCCCCTCCTTACGAAACGGAAGTGCTGAAAGCGTTTGTGACCCGCCTCCCGCGCGGGGCGGAGAGGGGTGGGCTGTGGTGGGGTGGGTCTTCCCAAGCCCGCCCTTGCCAGCCAGCTGGGCGAGGCGAGTAATGGAACAGGAGTAAGGCCAATACCGCATGACCGCAAGCCTGCACNGTTCGTGCCGCAAGCTCACAGAAATGTGTGAAGTATTGAGGCAGTGGAACAACCTCCCCCCACACACACAGGAAAGAAAAAGAAATCAACAACAAACACACAACAAATAAACATCTTCCACTTGTGTGCGGCGCTAGCAGCGCACTATCTCTCCCTCTCGTTTATTTTCTCTTCGTGTCAGGGCTACCTGTGCCCGTTTAGTTCTTTTGTGTTTCCTCCGCTCGCCAGGTAACACGACCCATCGCCCGCCCACACGCAGAGAAAGACTACAACGGATCCTGCACGCAGTTTCCCGTCGCACATGCTCGCTTCTGCACGTGAAGCCCAAGAAATAAGACAGAACAACCACGACAATAGCCACAAACACAGGAGCACGAAAACAAATAAAACAAAACTGTGGAAGATCAAGACAACGGCTCATCCCTAACTCAACCTCTCGTTCACGTACGCCTCAAAGCATGCGTTCGTCATCTCCTCCGCCTGCGCCACAGTCAGCTCGAGAGAACTCAACAGTTGCTGTTGCGTATATCCAACGGCACCCTCGCACCCCACCGACGGGAACATGGGCTTCATTTCCGACGGCACAAATAACTTTGTCGGTTGCGGGCGGCCAGGGTGTTTCACCACCAGTTGCTCCGCCGTCAGCGGGTCGCCGATGGAGATGACAACAGTGGAGTGCAGCTCCGAAAACTTCAACTTATTCCCGCGGTACCACGAGGCAAACACTTTTTGGAGCGGCTGTGTCTCCAACTCGTCGAGCAGCGCGTCAGGCGGACTGCCGTCGAACCACGGCAACGCGTACCGCCCGTGCCGCAGCGCGCCGTCGTCTAGGAAGAGCTTGAACATTGACCAGCCCACCGTCTCCACCTTCACCTGTGCTTCCCCATGCTGCGTCATCGCATCGAGCTGCGTCGCCCTAAGTAAGAAGAAGAGCGCAACGAGGAACGGATCGGAGTTGGCCCCGGTGATGATGCGCAGCGGCTCCGAGAACCGCGGCGCCCCCACGTCAGAGAACCAGTCACGGCTGCGCGTGCACGTTAGGCCATTGGGGCCGTCCACACCCGTCTCCACGGCAACCGCGTAGAGGGCGCTGCTGTTGCCCATACCGTGCAGCTCTTCCACGGATATGAAGAACCCCCTTTCGGGGTCATACGGCACGACGTAATTGATCGCATTGCCCATCGGTTTGGCACTTCCCTGGAACGCCGCTGCGGCACTCTCTACGCTGTCAAAGGGCGGCACCATGTGGTGATCATTGCCCTGACGCAGATCGAACAGCTGCTCTTCTCCCCGCGAGAGTGGCGGCTGCATCGGGTCATCGAAGAACAGAGAATTCGGGTCCGCCTCCATATACCACGCGATGTAGCCGCACGGGCAGCACTCACTTCGCGCCGTTGATGGCACGAATAGTCTGACGAAGAGCGCCTGCGCGTCCAACGTCTCCTCAATCTGCTCCTGCGTGTAATTCTCCATCGCCTGCCGCTCCGCGTCGATGTCACCCCAGAGTTCCACACCACGAGACTCCGGCCTCCGTGGATCACCGAGTCGAACACGCGAGACAAAATTCCCCGCAGACGTGCACTTGTGAACAGGCAAACCGACGTGCCCAAACACAAACGGTCCCTCCCCTTTGGCTGTGATATACTCAATGATGACGATAAGAAACGTCTCGTCTCCCACGAGGATATCTTTCAGTTCAAATTCAAAGAATGGGCACGTGCAGCTGCCGTTCATGTCTTGGTAGTGAATCGCATTAGGAGGTCGCATTAACACCGCGGCATCGTGGGAGCTGCTCATCACCTCCCCTGTCTCTTCATCTATGTAGTCGCACACATACACAAGCAAACGCGAGCACGCTGCATTCAGAGGGAGACCGTAAACACAACGGATGCCCACATCCACATTGCTCATTGTGTTACCGTGGCCCACCGCCCCTTCCTGTGGCTTCTCATTTTCCAACGAACGGAAACCAAACAGTAGGCTTGCATCAGTTTGCGAATCTATGTCCAGATTAGAGAGGGACTCCTTGGACACTGGAATATTTTTATAGTTTGCAGGGACCACCACGCGGCCTTTATCATCAAACTGGATTTTCCAAAGGAGCTTTTCCACCGCCGCCGGGTTCGTTGGAACCAGCGCCGCTTCTTCCTTAGCTGGACGCGTTGGAGCCAACGGTGCTTCTTCCTTAGCTGGACACGTTGGAGCCAACGGTGCTTCTTCCTTAGCTGGGCGCGTTGGAGCCAACATCGCTTGTTCCTTGGCGGGGTGCGAAGCCGAAGAGGACGGCTGTTGTTGCCTTGCATCCACTTCTTTTTTACCTGACGACTGAGGCACCGCCGCAGCAGCCACTGCGTTTACTATAGAGACAGAATTCAGATGCCTTTCCGCTTCATTCAGCACGTCGTTAGAAGAATTGCCTTCAATGGCTCCACGGATTATTGTGTCCTGCAGACAGCTGTCCGTCACTTGCATGGCGTTCGGCACATCCACTGGAGGCCGGCGCAGCACACCCATCCACACCCCCTCCCCCCGCGCATTGATACCTGCCCAGAAAAGTGGCTTTCGTTTGAACAAGAAGACAATGATAAACACATGCAAGCTGTTTGCCTTCCGCACAGTAAATTCCACCGGCTGACCGAAATTGATGACAAAGGAGGCGGCATCTTCATGGCAAACCTCGATGTTTTGAAACTCGTGCTTTCCCACAGACTCCAGTAGCCACTGATCTAACCCCGTGATAAGGTGAAATTCCTCCACACTGACGCTCAAATCATTTAGAGGCACTTGGATATCAAGTCCGTCCAGGCGCTCCACCGTCAACTTGTACGTGCCGGCGCGCAGCAAGGAGCTCGTTGGAATAGGAGGCTCAGGCGCCTCGGGCAGACTATTCTCTTCTGCAGTTGCTGCACGCACCACCCGCACCCCTTGTTGCTTCGGCCTACCTGGTGATGACTGCTGCAGCAATGACAGTGGCTGGGGTTGCTGTTGAGGCATGTTTGGTGGCTGCTGCAGAAATAATAGTG